ATCTTAATTTAAGATGGTGATGTGAAACTGTTTTTTTCCTTCTCTCTAAAATCGCAATCACATCAGCTTCAACGTGACTTGAATAATTTGGTTGCATGGCGCTCTTTGAATCGTCTGAAACTAAATCTAAATAAATGTAAGAAGCTTTCTTTCTCAAGAAGAAAGTCATTCATTACTTAGTATTTCATTGATTCGCATAAGTTGGAGGACGTCGATATGTTCACAGAATTAGGCGTTCTGTTTGACCATAGATTACGTTTTAACTTGCACATTCAGCTCTCGCTAAGCAAAGCTAGGTCCGCGCTTGGCTTTATAAAGAGATGGTCCAAAGAGCTTCATGATCCTTATATTACGAAAACGCTGTACATGTGTTTGGTTAGACCTATACTTGAGTATGCCTCTGTTGTGTGGTCTCCTTCATATAGGGGCTATGTAGATTCAATTGAATCTGCTCAAAAGCAATTCTTGTTATTTGCTCTTGAGAATTTGGGTTGGGATCATATTGCCTCTCTTCCACCCTATGAAAACAGGTTGCTTCTTTTATCGTTACCGTCTCTCGAGACGCGTAGATTTGTTCTTGATGTTTCCTTCGTAATCAAAGTAATAAATAGTGCTATTGACTCGCCTGCATTACTTGGTGAAATAAGCTTTAATGTCTCCAACCGATTCTCTAGGGTTCTCTTGGTTAAGCTCAGTCAATGTGAATATAATTATGATCTGTTTAACCCCCTGTCTGCAAGAACCTAAATGATGTCTATCACTTATTCTCATTATTGGCCTCTTTAAAGTCTATTAAAGCAACATTGCTTAATGGGCGTAATTTGCCTATGTCGTACTTAAACTAGCTCTTAACGTTATAATGTCGCGATGAGTCGAAATTTAATTGTAGTTAATTATTATCGGTTGCCAAGCTTATCCATGTTTGCGTTGGCTTAGGGGTTCATTCGCAATTTGGTCCTGCACCGGTTGTGGGTGTGGGTCTATACTAGTTGTGTACATCCTGTTTTTTTTTTCCTCTTTAGTTGTTTTATTGTACTTATATTAAGTTTTAATATTAATTAATTTAAGATTTACTTTAAGAGTCAATTGAAATCGACTGTCAAAATTTTTAGTTGAGTTTCTTGTATAAGTGGAATAAATAAATAAGTAAATTCTTCTTTACAGCAACTAAGATTTATATCCCCAAAGGCTTTTTAAAGTCATGAGCTTAGCTAATAAAGTTCTGGACATTTTTTTAAGACATGATCCCAAGAGCATTCATAATATTCGATACAAGGAAACTTATTTAGAAATAAAAAAAAAATCTCTTTCGCAGACTTTGAACAAATTTTTCAACAAATCTTCTACAAAATACTATTAAATTTCCCCCACACTCATTGTTTTTTATTTTGTGATATTGTTCATCATTTTGTTGAATTGTTTTAGTTTTGGTTTTAACGAAAAGTAATGGATTTTTTTGCCTCATTTTTGTAATATGTACATGTGTTCTATAATCAATAAAAACTGTTAATAAAAATAATGTTGGAACCTATCTTTGATTTTTGTACGATTCCTTATCGAAAAATTAGATTCGTTTCATGTCTACGACGCAGCACGAAATCTTAGTGTATATAGAGAGCGCCGAAAACATCACCAATAATTAAATTTCACCTGCGTAATAATTCACAATATAACGTAATTTCAACCTCAATCCACAATAACAGAAGGTCCGTAATAATAGAAGGTAATAGCTCGCTAAACTTATTAAATAACCTATTGCTCAAAAATTTGATAGTCACTAGAGTATTTTAGTTCCCTGCAAGTAAACCAAACCAATGATTCGCGGAGATGTTAAGAAACCGGGACAAAAGAATAAATATAAAAAATGATTGTGATTGTTTTCTTTTTTTTGATAATATTTATGATATATAAAGTATTGTAAAATTTCTTTTTAATAAAAAAGCAATTTTTGCATTCCAATTAAAGAAACCTAAATTTGGGCTCTAAAATTCTTCGCTGTCTTTGCTGCATGCTTGGAAAGGAAGATTATCCAAGCTTACCGGCCAACAAACGCTATATACAATATTCATATACAAAGATTCATTCTTAACGATAATTTTTTTGTGATTGACTTAAACTCTAAAGGGATTAAAATTCAATCTTTATTTAACAAACAAATAAGAAAAATATCCATTGCTCTATCCTTCTAAAGAACTTTTATCAAGTCAAGCTCAACTCATGTACACAATTCGTGCGTGAAAGCAATTTTTCGATTTTCATGGTCTGTATTTGTTTACAATTAACAATAATTGAGAAAGTCACTTTGTTTTTGTAAACAACCGCCTGTTGCATTGAAAAAACGACTTTGAATATGGTCATATTTGAGAGTATTTCAAAAATAATTTGGTCATATCTGAGAGTAAGCGTCTGAATTTGGTCATATTGTGTTTGCGGTTTGATGATTTGGGTTCCGAAGTAAAAACGAAACACTTAACGTAAACTTTCGTAAAATTCCCAAATATATCAAATGAAGAAAGAACATTAACGCAGTAATAAGCGAGGAAAAATTCATAGGCTCATAAGTATCAAGCAATATCTCGTACACTAATGAATGTTTGCAATTCCATTGATGAGGCTTTTATTAGCTTTTTTTGTAGACTTTTCAGCGAAATAAAATGTGACAGTCAACGTCTACTGTTATGTAACGAAGACAACAAACTCCATTCCATTCCATTATTCGTCCTAAAACGAAAATTAGTCTTTTTCCACGCCTTAAAGAATAAGGGCTTTCTCGTTCTGGTACCTTGATGTTGAATCATTTTCTTTGACACCGTTGCAAACGAATCGTTGCTATTTGTTACGTTGTTGAATTGCATATTTTTTAAAAAAGACTAAAGAGCATGTTGGATTAAAAAAAAATTAAAAGTTTTGTTGTAAATGATCTATTCGAGAGCGCCGTAAAAATTTAGAGCACAAAGTCAAAACGTAGACACATTTACCTAAAATTTATTCCTTACGACTAAAAATCTCTAACTTTCTTGGTTGCGTAAGTGCTCCAAGGTCGGCTGGAGGGCTCTACTTTGGAAGACTCTGGATTTTATGGGCGCAAACTTATTCATGTTGTTTATTACAAATTTACTCGTTCCGCAAAAAAACATATCCTCTTAAGAATTGAATATCTTGCAATCCACTTATTAACAAACACACTTTGAGAAAATAAAATAAATTACCTTCTTTTACTAATATATCGACCGTTCTTCGTTATTTTAAGTGAAAATTCAAATAAACTCAGATAAATCGAGAGATGCCACCAAATCCAAAAATTAAAGTTACCATCACTTATTTTAAGTTTGCAAATGAAATTTTTCAGGTAGCAAAATTTTATAAGAAATATTTCATCACTAAAATTATGTTTCTACGGGAAGAATATTAAACATTTAAAGTGGCACTGTTTGTGTTAGAAATATTGCTTTTTTGTCAGTACGCAATAGCTGAATTATATATATAGATTTAGACGTTTTCTACAGCACTAACTCATATTGCTTTAATAAAAATAAGAGCATATTGACTATGCTATTGCGGATCTTTGTATAGAACTATAGAAGATCCATGTGTAATTTAATTTGATGAAAAGCTTCGATCTTTATCAAAATTGAAATTTGACCTCAAGTATTCATATTGGCCAGACAAAGATATACACCTATAGTGAGCATAGATTTGCATCATTCGAGGGTGCGTTGTCACATTCATTCTAAATTTCATATAACGTTTCAGTTCAACTGAGTTTGCTGATTTTTTTGGCTTTGGAAATAGTTGCAATTTCATATGTTTTCCGTTGAATTCGCTATATCGACCTTTGATTTATAAACAATTTCATATGTTTTCTTTCGAATTCGCCATGCCGACCCTTAATTTTATATATTTTCTTTTGAATTCGCTATGCCGACCTTTGATTTTAATTGTACATTGTAATCTCAATGAAATATCGGTGTATCCTTCTTTTGTGTTTATAGCTTAAATGTACTTGCCTTTAATTATATTACACACATACAAATGAGCTCAAAGTGGAAAAATATTTATATAGCTTCGAGTGTCATATTTTTAAATTATATATTATGTACTATATTTATTTAATTTAGTATCAAATTTTTAATAAGTCAACCCCTATCAGTAGCTACGAAATGTAATTTCAGACCGGAGGTACCTGCCCTTTTTCTGTTCTCCCTCTATATCGAATGCGAACAAAGAATCCTAACTCTACTCTAAGTTACCAGCTAATGAAATCTCTTAGAAATATTCGTAAGGGTGCGTTTGTCATGTACTGTCATTCTTGTTGATTCAATTGCTATTGGACGATGCTAGAAACAGCCGATAATGGCCTTGCGAATATTTTTTTGATTAAAATTTTGCGCAGGGGATAGAAAAAAATTAAATGCTAACTTTATTCAAAATCGAGTTGAAAAAATTGCGAATTTGATCATAAAAATAAAATCATTAAGAATATAATTTTTGATAAAATATTAAAAATTGAAAAAAACTAAAACCTTTCTAAATGGGATCGGGCATTTCCATATGCAACGTTTAACTGCATTTTACTGTATAATATAAATGCTATCAATATTATAAGTAATTATTCTTTTTATTTTCATTGAAATGAAATTTTTAATTGTGTTAAAGCACGGAAGTAAACCATTCCAACTTCCTTCACGTAGTTATATATGTCTGCTTTTTAATTACTCTCTATATTAGTAGGCATTTGCTGCACGTCCATTCGAGAATACTTCAAGATTTACTACTCTATTTTCAGAAAAGTAATTATAATTGGATATAAATGATAATTACAATTGGACTTTTTTTAATTTTTAACTGAATTTTTTTTAATTTATAAAAAAATTATGTTGTTTGTAACATTTTATATAGTAGCGATAAAAATTCGAAAGTTTAACCTGCGTCCAGACACTAAAATTGCACTGCTGTAATTGTGTTAAAAGTGGCATGAATGACTCAGGGAAATTGTTGTTTTAGAAGAAGAAGAAGAGGCGTTTTTTACTCAAGTAAAAGCATTTGTGTAAATTAAATTTTTAAGCAATGGCGTTAGATATATGCTTCGATATTAAAACTTTCTTGGAGAGAACTTGCCGCACTTGCAGTCGTTATTTTAATGACGAAATGGTTTTCTTCGGCATATTTCGTGTGAAGCTGAAAGATTCATGTAGTTTGGGAGAAGATGATGAAGTAGAATATGAAGTTAGTGATGATGTTAAGGAAGTTTTTGACGATCTAAACATATGGAAATTAAATGTATGCATATGCTAAATTTTTTATATAAAAAGACGATTACATTGTGTTTACATATATTTCTAGATAAAACCCAACGACGGGTTACCATCGCAAATCTGTGCTGAATGTCTAGAACGTTTTAGGCAAGTGCATTTATTTCGCGAAGAATGCCTTGATAGTCAAAAAGTACTACAAAGCTATTTTTTAGACATCGAGCATCTGTTGGAATCTGGTAAACTTTCTCCGAAAGTCGAGCCGCTAAAACCAGGCATAGGTGAAATTAGCGAATTTTTAGATTCGGCCGTTACAAAGATCACTCAAAAGTCTCCGATTCATGCAATAACTAGCGATGTATTTTCGCCATTTAGTAGTCCTCGCCTACGGTTGAGCCCGCGATTTGCTGAGATATCAGCTTATGCTGACAGCAGCTCATCAATTGGCACGCCTCCTCCCTTATTTGAAGAAATGAAAACCGAACCTATTGATATGGAAACAATGGAAAGTATAAAACCCGAGAGTGAGTTGCCTAGAGTTGAGAACATGGAAGAAGGAAGAGACGGAACCTTGCTTAAACAAGAATGGGATTCTAGTGAAAATGAATCGTCCACACCAACCACTGACGAGGAACTAGACTCGGACGATTCCTTTTCCTCAGACGAAGAGTTTCTCGCAGACTACCCGAAACACCAAACCGTTAAGAAAACTGCGCCTCACTTAAAATGTAAAATCTGTGGTGCGGCATGTGCGAATCGACAGCTTCTTAAAGCCCATCATATGCGTCATCATCCACAGGAAAAGCCATTCGCTTGTAATATTTGCTCCAGTTCATTTAAATCTACGTTTTTATTGGCCCAGCATAAGCTGAAACACAATCGTCCCGACACCATGCAATGCCAGGAATGTGGCAAGTACTTTCGAAGCCAATTGCATTTGCAACGACATAATAAGAATTTTCATTTAACTTCAACCTATGCCTGCCATATTTGCCATCAGCAGTTCGAAAGTTATACTCAGATGAGATTTCAGTATCATTTGCGCCAACATGGCGAAAAACGTTTTCCATGCACTTACTGCGACAAGGCTTTTCACCAGAAGATACATTTGATTAATCACGAGCGCACTCATACTAAAGAACAGCCATTTAGTTGTGACCTTTGTGGCAAAGCTTACAGACAACAAACTGCTTGTCAAGAACACATGAAAACTCACAAAGATCCAACTCCATTCAAATGTAAACTCTGCCCCAAATCCTTCAGTCAACGCTCCACACTGCGTATTCACATGCAAAAAACACACAACTTGACAAAAGCGTCTACAACACCTCTTAAAAGAGTGCGGTCTGAAGTTTTTGAAGAGCAACATTTTCTTAACTTTTAAGTAAATTGCGAACATGTTACCGTTTTGCAAGATTTATTTTAACGATTTCCTTTTACATATTTCTAATCGCAAGCATTAACTAAAAAATCTGATCTTACCGATATTAATATTTGATAGTGCTTTCATAGAAATATTTATTGAACTTTTTCCAACCGAAACGCCTTTTCGGATCTTTCTTACTTCCAGCTGGCGCCAAGTTCGGCATTAGCCCCGCCTTCTGCGCCATAGTTACAAGGGAACCTATCCTTTTTTGCTGACGGTAGCAAAGACCAGTGATGCGTTTAGGTAACATGCAACCATCTGAGCGAACATATTGTGATAAAATCAGCACATCGGTATGTTTAAGGTCTAAACCCAACGTACATTCAGGACAGAATTTCGACCCACAAATCCCTTTCAACGTGAGGTTGACGCGAGGTGATGGTTTCCTTACTCCTTCAAATATTAAGGAGGTCTCTTGTTTTTGCTGAACTGGAATGAGAATGAATTAACTCACGAGAGTTATTGTTATTGTCGTAGTGTGTCAAACTCACTTTCTTTGACCAGGTTCGTAGTTGTTGTGTTGATGGAACGTATTCCTATGGAGTTCTTAAGAATTGATGTAGTTAGCTTTAGCAAAATACACATTTTTTAGATAATTTCGAAGAATTAAACAATAAATACTCTTCCACATGTCTTTTATGGTCAAGAGCTAAGTAGGGTGGTAACTATGTATGGCGGTAATTGTTTCATTTCCAGATTTTTACTTACGTACCAAAGCTATGACAACCGCTTCATCGTTTCTATCAAATTGAGCGATACCTAACCAGCTCACGTTTTGCGTACGCATTAGTTTTTCAAGATTAACGCGGACCGTTTAGAGCTGCATTCAATAGAAAAAACAGCTGCAAATGGGGAACAATTAAATTCGAAACAAAATTGGTTATCTACAAACAGCTGAAAAAAGCGAAAAATTCTAAATTCATGAGAGGCAACCAAAGCCAATTTTTTATTTTGGTTTTTTAACTCCAATTGTCCAATTGATGCCCTTAATTCGCCAAAACTTGTGATATTGTCGTCATCATTAATAAAGAACAATGAATTAGCAATTCATAAAATCTCGTTACTGGACAGATATAAATTAAAAACTTCACCTTTATTTTGATTTTTAGAAGATAAGTAAATAGAAAAAATCATTCGAAAATACAAATTTATAATAATATATATATACATAGAATAAAAATATATTAAATTAAAATTTAATTAACTCAATTAGAATCTTCTTTACTTTCGCATTCTCGTGGTCGAATTAAATCATTCCTTTCCTTAGTTAGCTTCAACTAACTGCCATGGAACGACTTAAGCTTACCTTTCATTTTTGTTAACAATTGCTCTATATGTTTGTGATTTTGCAATTTTTTCTTTTTGTTGACCATTCACAATAATTGCACTCGGTAACTTAATTGCACACATATTTTGCTTAATTATAAGATGGCTAAGAATAGTTAAGAATTGTTAAATCCGACATGGTTGACGGAGCAACAACGTAAAGGCATAGGAGAATAACAGAATTTACAGTGGGAAGAGACGACAGAACATTTGAATAATATAATCGTAGCATATAATAATTAAATAGTACAATAATTGAATTATATATAAATACAATAAGTACGATTTTTTACTTTTAATACTCAAGGAAACAAAGGTTCTTCATGTAACGGTTTATCGCTATATAACTGAAAACGTCTAGTTTTTCCTACATGTCAGGATCTAAAGCGTTTTCAAACATTTTTGTCCTTTCATCATAGGATGACATAATAATTACATAATTGTTAATTAAAAATAAATATAAATATGTGCACTTACTTTCGCTTCTGAATTGGGATGGCATCCTTGGCCAAGCAATTTATCACATGGGGACTTCTAAAATTATATGAAAATAAACCAAAAATTTCACATTACAATTGTATATACGAAAGTGTTCCACTTAATGGCGACAAATGATCGTTTGTAAATACTTTAGTTGGAGTGCCAAATATACGCATATTTTCCGTCATCAGCGATCGCCGCCTCTAAGTTTGTTAGCACGACAATTCTCTCTTTATCCAGTCACTTGCTAGCTTGGCCATCCTTCGATGCTTTGTAAGAACAGTTTATTGTTACCCAATTTTCTTTTTGCATTGTGTTTATGGTCTGCCCAAACTTAAAAAAACGCTAAAAATAAAACAAATGCAAACAATGTGTTAACATAACTTCTGAAAGCTTACTTTTCGTCATACCCCCACTCCCCCCACCTTTGCTAGCTGATCCCACAATCTGTTCAAGTCTTTACGTCCTCGAGGCATGCTTCGGCTGAAATTTTCGAACCTTTATTTGTTCTTTGGTTCGGTTTACGCCATTTCTACTAGGGCCTACATATTTTTCTCTTATAATTAACTGATCACTTTTCAAACAATTTTTCTTTTTTTCCCATTTACTCACAAAATACTCGTCGATATTGTTTTTCGCCACGTTAAAGCGTACAACATAATCTCGATCGTAAAGAAAGAGTTCGAACCACCTATTGATTTGCAAACAATTTCATGTTTTTCAGTCGAATTCGCTATACCTCCCATTGTTTTGTATTTGTTTCTAACAAGTGGTAATTTTACTCCCAGATGTTTTCAATCTGTTGATATCCTATAACCGTTTTTATTCTGACCGCCAATACGAAAAATATGTACACGAAAGACCTCTAGAAAGTGGAAAAAAGACTATTCAATGTTTTTCTTTTTCTCGTCTATTGTAATTGGTTTATTTGTTTGTTTATCAGAGAGGAAAATCAGGTGTTATTTTTCCGATCAAATATAAACAAAAATTGTTGTCTTTTTTCTCCTTTTTCATTTACATATGGATGATGAGAGCTACGAAAATCCCACGAGGGTCTTACGGGATTGGGACAAACAAGTATATCAATTATCGGTGTGGTCGCGAACGAAAGTTAAATTTCAGATACGTAAGTAGCCCCTGTTACTGCAATGAGTAACAACAGCAATTTAAGATACGTATTAGAGTCTTATATAGGAGTGCAGATATATTAGACGAATAGAAGGATTTGTGAAGTTATATAGTCACTATTTGATTGAGATCATTTATATGTTCAAATTTCATTACCTTACTATTCAATATAAGTTATAAAATTTAGACAAATATTCTACTTCTATTATATAGTTTAGAAATAGTTTCTTAAACGTGGATAAGATATTGTCACCAAGAACTATGTGGAACCAGTAATGTTCGGATTTTCTAGCTTAATATACCGAGAAGCAGTACAAAGACATGAGCAATATCTAAGTTTAATATGATTTGCGACTCCGCTTGAGTTGAACGAATGAGGACACCTCGTGCTTGTGCGCCAATAATAATACACAAGTATTATTACGCATAATAAATGTAAGCAATGATATTTATAATAATTTTAATGATATTTATTTTGCCATTATTTTTACGTAAACCAAAAACAAAAACAACGACCATACCAACATATAAATTTGTGTTCAAGCTCTAGGTCGCAATAGGCACGGTAAAACTCTACGACCGATTTTGATTTATCTATAAATGCATTGATATTTCGCCAGCGTATATAACGTTTATCAATAAGTTCCTGAACAGATGTCAGGACTCCTGAAAAATTCGAATCCTAAAAAAAAAAAATTTTCTGTTAATTCTTACCATATATTCGTACAAGTGCTTCAAGTGCTTGAAATATAATATATAATCTTGTATATATAAATGTATAAAAAATAAGCATTTATCTCCCTTTGTACGTCTCCTGAATAGTTTTATACAATTTTTATATGCGTGGCATTCGATTTTGCCCTATTTTGAAAAATGTAAATCTAGCTATACTCTAGTTAAGATCTGTCCTACATATTTCCACATACTGCAAGTCAAGCTATGACCTAATTAATATAATGTAATCTACCTTTACATGTAACTTTAGTAATAGCCTAGTTTAATTCCAATGTTTTGCTTAAGTTAGCATAATAAGTTATTATATAAGTTACTGACCACAGTTCAGTAAAATAATAATAGTAAGATAGTAAGTCAGAAGTAAAAGCACTCGTAATAAAGAATTGTTAAAACGAACCTTTAATTGTGTTTTCACTACAACACATCTTTCTTTGAAAATAAGCAAAAGTTCAGAAAAATTCTCTCCGCAACATTTTAATTTTGTTTATGTTTCTAGGTCACGTGTTTTATCCTGCTTTATGAAATTTTTTACTAGAAGTGAATTTAAAAAAAACGAAATTCACATTAATATTTGAATGGATGCATACTTATTTTATTATTAAAATTTAAAAAAAATATAATTTTGCAACTTTCCTTATAAAATATATTGTTCCGTTTTCATATTTCATATATTTCCTCTTTAGAACTATTCGGTTATTATTGTTATGTAATTCTCCATCATGGGATAAAAAAATCGTTCACTATATTCAGGTTACGCATATATACATAAATATGAATGCAGAAGTATGCACATCAACAAAGCAAAGATAAAATATACAATCCGCCTGAGTGGGCGAAGGCGAGGAATCTCGACTAGCAATTTTTTTGGTCATATAATAAACTTTTTTGGTCGTACAATAAATTTTTTGGTCGTACAATAAACTTTTTTGGTCGTATAATAAATTTTTTTGGTCGTATAATAAATTTTTTTGGTCGTATAATAAATTTTTTGGTCGTATAATAAACTTTTTT